TACACCTAAACGGATATCAATTTTGGCACAATCCTCCTCATTTCCCCGGCAATATCTCATTTTCCAGGTGACTATTTCCATGTGATCTTGCCCAAAAACATGTGGCACAAAGTCTTACTAACGTACACAATGAGTTGAACCAGGCATAATTTCTTCCGAAATCCTACAACAGAGAGACTACTTGGCTGAATAAGGCCCGGTTTCAGCTTATGGAACTGGAAGTGAACTTGTAAGTGAAAAATGAGGAAAGCAGGCATCTGCCCTATTCTAGCTCAACCCATAGAGTTTCTATACAAAAACAAAAGTGTAGTACAGGCGAAGAGACAGCCGGAATTAGAAAAGAAATATTTGGCGCTTACGCTGTGGGCAACATCAGGAAAATGTCAAATAAGCAAGACATAAATCTAGTCTCAGAGCAGCACCACAACAGTTCGGACAGTAACGGAAAATATGCCTTAAAGCCGTCTTTTTTATGAGGTAAAGTAGGTAAATATCCTCATAAAAGTATTCCGTTTAGATTTCATGTGAGTACAGCTGAATATCGGAAGATAAAAAAAATTTTGCTACATTTTAGACCGATAAAACAGCAATCTCACATTCGTAATGAGGGATACTGTATGAAAGTCGGCGAGACGCATCGACAGGTGATGGTGTAACGCCAAAAAAACAACCATTTGCCAGATATTTTAGGCAAGAAGACAATTCTTTAAAAAATAACCAAGTGAAAACATTTCCAAGTAAGCAATACGCTGGGCTAACGAGAAGTTGTTTATAGCCGGCTTTGTAGGCCAAGACTATTTAGAGAATGGCCTCATTTTTTGAAGGTGCAAATAAGAATGTCATTTGGCAACAGGTTGACTATAAGGCTGTAAACGGAGCCATAGTTACACAAAGAAATAATCCCAATCAAATGAGATCAAGTGTTGCGATAAAATGATCCGTTTGTAAGTAGGGTTTCTAGACTACCAGTAAAACGCATATGATTGTGGGAAAATTCAATTACTAGTCCTTTATCACCATAATCGAAATAGGGCAAACACATCTAATATGTTGTGATAGAAGTCCAAACCTTTATTGAGCCAGCAAGGTAATATAAATCTCGATAAGAGATAGATAAAGTTGACGAAGATACAGACACGAATATCTGTGAATACAGGAAGACTATTATTGAGATCCTGCTATAGATATATATCAAATATGTGACAAACAGAATCCCGGGCCAGCCTTGATAATGCCGAATAAAGACGATTGTTTTGTTGTTGAAGATGATTTCAACCAATTTCTAATCAGACCGATAAGGAGTTTTAACCTTCTCCAAAGAGGGAAAAAAACTAAACCCTTTGAATGATATTCATAGATTTAGCAATTATGACACTCACATAAATACTCAGCAAAGATTAATAGACTAGAAATAAGTTAAACGGAAAAAGTAGCGCCTCGGACAAAAAGTGCAAATATAAACCCTTACTATACCTTTTGGACCTTTTGCATGTTTATGAGGGTCTAATCAGAATACCGATGGGCTGGTCATGTGATTATACTGTTAGCAAACTCAGATCATTCGTAAAAAATGAGATAGAACAAGAATGTGGTATAGAAGAATTGCCTCAACAAAATAGGAGTTTACAATGTTTTATGAATGTGTATAATCAAAAAGAATAAAAAGACACTAAAACAGAATAGGCTCAAATAAATAAAATTTTATATCGTATTACTTCTACGAATATTTTCCAATTCCAGTCTATAACTTAATATAATGTAATATTTTCAGTTTTAAGTGTGTTCATATTCAATTCAATTCAATTCCATTCCAATCTATTATAATCCATTCCTTTTCAGTCCAATCCATTCTATTCAAATCGAATCAAATCATTTGAAATTTAATTAAATCAAATCAACCCAAACAACTAAGAACGTATTCCTTTTCCCGATCGCAAAAAGCCTTTAGATTTATGGAATACCAACAGTAATGAATAAGGAATGAATCTTGTCAGTGAACTTCATCGTAACTCGTAACTTAAAATTATCTTATTGCGATCTACCAAATGCGCTCAATGAAATTCGAAGTCAGAAAATACATGGGCCCAGGGAAAATTGTGAAAGTTTGCGAATGTTGCATAGGACTTGATTTCCAGGTATTGTAATCCTGACTACTAGCATTTGCACCCTGGGCAGCAGGCATCCAAATCAGATACGTTTCCTTGAAAGATATGTAGAAATAGTGATGCTCGAAGAAGATTGATGTAAGAATACCTTTCATTTGGCTTGAAGGGGCGAGTGTGCATTCGTATGTTGGTCTCACCGGAAGTCAAAATAGGCTTATTTTGGACTTGCGACTGTAGATCTGTGTTAATAAGTCCCCGGTTCAACAGTCTGCGACTCTGATGAATCCTCATGAGAAGATGAGCTGAGGACCTATTAGCACAAATCTAGTTACAGCTCCCCTTTTGGCTTCAGGTAAGATCAAATTAGGAATCCCTTCCGTCGAAATGAAAGGTACTCCAACATTTCCTTAGTCTCGATAAAGAGTAAATGAGTAATTTAGATGGATTACGCCAAAAAAACTCCGGCATATTTAGGCAACTTGCCTACAGGAACACTTTCAGAAATTCATTATAAGCAAATTGTTTCAAAGCACGATTCTAGCCCATAGCGAATTAAGTTGGGGCATAGTTTAACTCATTAACCAATGTATATATGCAATTTATATTTTGATTTGAGGTTTTATAGCGAATAGATCTCATCTCCACAATATTCTCAAAAAAATATTTTTCATACACAATGTTGAATTGATTCAATTAATGCTTGGTCGTATTCGAACGCAACTGGAAGCAAAAAGTTAAGAGGAGGCAAGCACGTTGAAAATATTTCAAGACGGACCATTTAAAACCGCAATCCAGTCCACAGAAAGCCGTGAGGCTCGGGCAGATGAAAAGCGAGCTATTGCACCATTCGGAAACCACCATGGGAGAAGGCTCCGGCTACAGATTGTTCTTCATTCTTTCCTAGTCTTCCACACGACTGATAGTCCAATTGTTGAGCTTACTTCCATTTCGAGTGGAAGTGTCGGGTGAAGAGATTCGAAGGTCGGTTCCACCAGAAGACTGTTGAGCTTACTTCCATTTCGAGTGAAAGTGTTGGGTGAAGAGATTCGAAGGTCTTTACTTCCATTTCGAGTAGAAGTGTTTGGTGAAGAGATTCGAAGGTCGGTTCCACCAGAAGACGACGGCTTTCCATTTCGAGTGGAAGTGTTGGGTGAAGAGATTCGAAGGTCGGTTCCACCAGAAGACGACCAGCGACGGAGTTCGAGTGAAAGTGTTGCGTGAAGAGATTCGAATGTCGGTTCCACCAGAAGACGACCAGTGACGGATTCCGCTTGACCAGCTGTCGATTGGCTTTACTGGAAGATTCATGCTGACGCTGTTTCCGAGGTAATCTCCTTCGATTCCAAGCTGTCGATTGGCTTTACTGGAAGATTCATGCTGACGCTGTTTCCGAGGCAATCTCCTTTGATTCCGGTGAACACGTGCCAGCTGTCGATTGGCTTTACTGGAACATTCATGCTGACGCTGTTTCCGAGGCAATCTCCTTCGATTCCGGGGAAAAGGTGCTAAGCTTTCGTCCGTCACATGACGGACACCATCAGAGCGAGGTAACATCGTCACAACAAAATTCAAGCTAACAAGTCAAGAAAACTCACTCAACTCAAATTTCTAAAAAGTGGTTTATGAATTTTCTCAAAAAATCTAAAACATACATACATACACACTCACATGCATCAAAGTTGACATATGACCTTAACTAACCAAATCACTTTATACTTGATCAA